TTGCCACAAATTCTTTTTCTTTGCGGGCTTGGGTAATGTTTCTTTTTCTTCACGAACCTGAGTGGTTGATTCCCGAAGTGGGAAAGCTGATTGTGACGAACCATAGTGATATTCCTTCCTCTCACATCTATGACTAACATCTTTTCTTTCGGGAACATGTGCTGTTTGTCTTGATTGAACTTCCTGATCTTTAGCTTGTACCGTACAATTTTCGGTAGCAACAATCTCAGATTTTACCTGTGGTCTACTTGTTCTGCGGACAAACGATTCCGATCGATATCTCCCCCTTGTTCCTCTCATGTATTGGAACTTGGGTATTTCCCGATCCTGGTGAATTAACTCTTGGTGACAACGAGCGCAAAGTTGCTTGTTATTGTCACCTGTCATATCTCGTATGTTAACCATACTAATCATGTTCGGGAAAGGATCTGTATCCACTTCCATTGGGGCCTTGCCTTTGTCTTCAACAAACTTAATTTTGCCTTGGCGAATTGCTTCTTGAATAGTCTTCCTAAATACAATGCAATTCACCGTATCATGGGTTGTAGAGTGATGCCACTTGCAATACCTCTTATCTGTCATTTCCTCCTTTGGCGGAATTATTTGCCCTTCAGATAACTTGATCACTCCATCCTTCAATAACAGATCAAATATTTCATCCAACTTGTAGATGTCGAAGGAATAGTTATTTGTCTCCTTAGCCTTGAACTTGGATGCATCTCTCATCCTGGCTGGCTTTAGTGCTGGGCACACATACGGTTTTTCAAGCACCATAGTTGCTACGGCTATTTCATTCTCCTCTTCGGCTATATCACCTTGTTCGGTATTTTCAGCAAATGCCACTGTATGCCGATTATCCTTGTTCGGCTTCTTATCTTTCTCCTTCAACAAGTGTTCGTACTTGGAAACCCGTGCGTTCAACTGAAAGAGATCATCAAATGCTTGTCCTTCAAATCTTTCTTTAAGGTTGAACCTCAAGCCATTAAAAGCCAAATCCGTGAACTCCTTTTCGGTAAGTGACGTTAAACATCGGTTTCTGGATTTCTTGAAACGTGCAATAAACTGATATACCGTTTCGGTACTATATTGATACATCCTGGCCAAATCGGCTACCGTTACTTCTGGTACTGTTCGGTAAAATTGAGAATGGAACTGCCTTTCCATCTCCGTCCATGTCTGAATAGAATTCGCATGCAGATTCGTATACCAAGTAAACGCTGTTTTCGACAAAGACAGTGGGAACAATCTTAACCTTAAATACTCATTAGTTCCGGCTTCTCCATATTGTGCTAAGAATCGACCCACATGTTCCACAGTTGACTGATCTTCTTCTCCTGTAAATACAGCAAAATCTGGCATCTTGAAACCCCTCGGATATGGTATATTGTCAACCCAATCGGGATGTGGTTTCCTATACACTGGCCTTGGCATTCCTCTTTTTGCTCCCAATTGTTGCATTACCAATTCTGCAACTCTATCTCGGGATTCATGGCCTTAAATTTTCTTTGGCCTACCCAAGGATCTTGACCTCTAGGATCGAACTGTTGCGGTCGATTCACCCATTGCTGCTCTACGTTGAAATTAACAGGCAGTGGTGGTCTATAAAGAGGATTTTCTATCACATGAGGATATGGTTGAGGCGCAGGTGGTCTGATATGGTCAATATTAGGCATATTCACTGGTAGAGGTACATTCGTCCCTGATGGTGCATTAGTGGTCACAGGATTAATCAAATTAACCTCATTTGAGGCATTTTGAGGGAAATTATAAGCACTCACACCATTCACAAGGTTTATAGGGGTAGGATTCTCTGGCCTTGGTATAATTCTAACAGGAGGTTGAGAATTTGATCCCCCACTACCATTATATCCAACATGAAGAGGTCCCGATGTTGGTGGGAATGATGTTGTCCCCGGAGGATTTACATAAAAGGGTGGAATTTGAGAAGATGAAGTGGGACGCGATATTACCTCATTTATAGCATTGATCACCATGGGCTTTATCACATCAGTTACATGTCGCACCATATGATTGGTAAGATCGTTCTGCTGCTCCTCAAACATCCTTCTTATCGTGGCTACCAAGGTGTTATCTGGTGCCAACACACGGGCTTGTTCTTGGTTAATTGTCGAGGAATGTCGGCATTCTCCTCTACTTGATTTCTTTGCGGAATGTTCGAACGTGCTTCATCAATCTGGATTGTTGATGTTGTCGACCGGTATTCTTTCAGTTGCCTAGTTCTCACCATTTCTCCAAATCTTACCACGCAGTCCCACCGGCGTGCCAAAAGATGTTCGCTCGTTTTGCGACGAGGAATATCCTTCACCGAAACTATGATTTTCGATTTTTATTAAAGTAGGTTCTGTGGCTTGATTTCTAGGAATATCGTGGCGAAAAAACAAAGTATAGTCTTTGGGTTATGTGGAAGCGGGTAGAAATTGAGTGGATTGAAAATGGATCCGGGATCAACGAGTTCCAAGCTACGTTACAATATTCTCTACGAAAGCGGTAAAGGGCTTGAAGGTTAACTAAAGCTACGGGAAGGCAGTAAACGCAGGAAGTAAAAGTGCAAATGAAACTAAAGTGCATATAAACTTGAGTGTTTTTGCATTCTTGTGTGGGTGTCCTCTTCTTCTTTCCTCTGAGTACATATACCTCCTCCTACCCTGTAACTGCTTGTCGGTTACTTCTTTGTTTTCGAACTTTGAATTTTGGCGCTTTCAATAAGCGCCTTATCTACCCACGTTTTCCAATTTCATTGTCCACCAAAACTTGATCTCAACTGCTGGGATAACTTCCAATTTGGATAAATGATCTCCCACGATCTGCTCGTGTTTACTATCTCCACTTCTTGCTCATAACTTCCTGTTGTCACGATTCACGTGGCTGGGTCGTGATCTTGTCGATTTTCGGTAGCTTCAACATTTCCCGAAATGTAAACTTTTCATGTTTCGGTAAAATTACCGATTCTCTCCAGTCATAGAGTTCGGGACATGGTGCCACTCACGCTTACTACATTCCCGAATTTTATCCAAACGTACTACGACTGAGCTCCATTGTCCATCGGATTTTGACATTAAACCGACGTGACATCCATGCCGATTTTGGTGTAAACAGAACCCAATGTAGGATCATAACTCTCATGGATGGTGAGGTTGCTTGCGCAATCGCGTCCTGATTTGGCTACGTAATACACACGGATAAACTCTTCCAGTAGTCTTCTACGACCGATAATGGCCATTGTATAAATTTTTCGGCAAACTCATTACGGTGCCGATTGCTTTTGCGTCTAGGCCCATTTGGAGATCTTAGACTCCAAGAAAATATAGACTAAAGCTAAGCCACCTCTGTGTGCCCAAAACTCAGCCCCAAAACTAGCTGTGGTGTCTATCTATGTACGGAAGCCTTACGTGCGGAGGAGTCCGATGAAAGTTCAAATCCAAGTTTTTCAATTTCGACAACCCTCTCCCTTTCATGCATTATCAATTACTTATAGAAAATCATCGATACTGTGACAATAAATTTGATGTCGATTTTGTCGGAAGAACCATCGAGATTTGGTGGAGATTGTGTGTTTTGTCCTAAAATCACATGTATATATGTATGTATGTGTGGATTGTTATATCTAATCTATACTGATTAGTGTACTTTTTCACACACAAAAAGAAAAAAGAAAACCGGCAATGCCAATTCGATTCGAAAAACGGATAATAAATGCAATCTCATGAGCAGAATCATCAACTATCTTCTTTTCCGAATTATGACCAAACAAAAGATTAGAGACATTCTACCCACTCATGCGTAGCTCAGTTGGGTAGCTCAGTTGGTTAGGGCGTACTTGGAATTGTGTGGTTAGGCGCACTGGTCCCAGGTTCGATTCTCCAGCTGAGCACTTGTGATTTAAGTGGGGGCTATGGCGGTGGGTTCTTTGTGCTAGTCTCCACTGAAGAATAGTCGAGTTGCGCAGTATGGTGACCGGACACTACGGTTACCAAAAAAAAAAAGAAAGGACAGGGTTACCAAAAAAAAAAAAAGGGATTAGAGACATTCTGGTGCACATAGGCCCCGTTTGGTTCAGCATTCCAATGCTCATTTGGCCTCTAAAGTCCCTTGGCCAAATGCAAATGGCGTTTGGCAATTTTTTTTTACTCACTTTGGGGAAATGCAATTGCATTTGGAATCTTGGCCAAGGGACCGCTGATGCACCTCGAAGGTGCTTTGGGAAGTTGCATTTCGGAATGCAACTTGCACTTTATTCATCGACAACTCTTGTTCATCTTCCCCAAACCGACGTCCGGCGTGCCATGTTCGCCTGGCCCGAGGCTAGCAGGACTCCGCGACCACGGCACGGGGTCGCGCGACCCGGCGACCGCGCTCAGGGTCGCCGGACCTCGGGCGGTCGCTTGGGTCGCGCGACCCGAGCGATCGCCCTAGGTCCAGCGACCCCAGGCGGCGGTCGGGGGGTCGCGCGACCCCGGCGGTGGTCGCCGGCGACTGCAATCTGGCCGTCGGCGGTTGGCGCGACAGATCCGGCGGAGGCGATGGCTGGCGATGTAGCTCCACCTGGAGTTTAAAAAAAAAAAAGAGCAAAAGTCCTTTAGCCCAAGTTGATTTTATAAAGCACAAATGCTTCTTGCGTTTCGGAAAATCACTTTAAAAGGTATTAGAGACATTCCGGTGCACATAGTACCTCCAATCCATTAATCGCACTCTCCTCGATGATATGTCTTTTCCGAATCATGATGTGCCAAAAGGGCTTATTCACGCAACCCCACCAAAGGCAGCACCTTGTCCGCATTCCACAATTTGGCCGGGGAAAGCAAACTCACGGTGATGCTGCCTATAAGTCTGTCCAGCGACGCGCCGCCTCTCTGCACGTACTCCAGCTCGTCAGTCGCCGGATCGTAGCTCAAGACGCTCCTCAAGAACTTGAGCACCATCTTCCGGCCACCACAGCCCATAAAAAAACCGAACCGGTGACTATTCACCCCCCACGGCAACTACTTCTTCGCCCACACCCCACTCTCCTCCATCACCCACACATCGTGGCTCTCCTCATGCGAGCTGTCGACGAGCCCCAGAACTCCCCGGAGGTCCACGAGGCTGGCCTCGCAAAACTCTGGGCTCGGAGTCCGCGCAAACTCCTCCTTTGCCAGGTCGAATGACAAGATCCTGGGAACGCGGACGCCGGCGCCGGTGACGATCAAGTGGATCGATCCGGCCGTGAACACCGGTTTTCCGAGGAGGAGGCAGGGAGGGACGCTCGCTATGTCCCTCCACGACCTCGAGCCCTGATCGAGGACCTCTGCCCTCATCGAGCAAATTTTGCGGTCTTTACCGATAAACGAGCTCATGCGCAGGATCTTGTACCGGCTGGTCAAGTGGTCCACCCCGATGGCTATCCGGTGCTGGTGCCACCGCTTGCACGGCCCGACGCTCGACAGCGACACGATTTCTTGGGTCAGAGGGTTGAGCAGATAGGTACCGCCGTGGAGGAGGTCGTCAAAGCAGAGCAACCCGTGACATGAAGCTCCAACTCCGTGGGACCACGCCGTCACGGCCGATTTGGGGAGCGAAGTCACCAGGAGCTCGTCGCTCACCGTGAATCTGGGATCTGCACCGCGACTCGGCTTTGAGAGCAGCAGAATCCGGGGATTCTCGACGCCGCTCTTGACGTGCATGGCGGCAAAGTGCGGATCATTGATGATGTCGCGCCACTCTCTGCAGACGTACCTCAGCTTGAGGAGCAGTGTCGTGGGTAGGCGAGAGAGAACGTTGTGGAGGAGGTCGAGAGGGAGTGAGTTCGTCCTCAGTCTTTTACGCCGCCAAGGAGATGAACGCGGAGAACGGTAGCTCGACATTGGCGAGAATTTGAAGAAGATGTATTCTGGTTCGTTTACGTAATAGCGAAATTAGGACACCTCTTTATAGAAATTGACTCAGAGATGTCGATCTTGGGAGTTATCACGAGTTTCCATTTTAATAGTTCTTGTTTTATACGGAAATCAATACCGTTTTTTCTAGAAGAATGTGACTTGCAAAGAAAAGATTTCTTTCCCTTTTCATGTTTTCTCTCGAATAATGTGACTCGTAAAAAAAGATTTCTTTCCATTTTCTTGTTTTAGATAGAAGTCAGAATATAAATCTAGCATATACTCACGGATAACTCTTCCGACTGAGAAGAGCAACATCTCCGAATAAATTTCTATATCGAGGTGCCCCAAATTCGCTATTATCAACACTTCCGTACTCAATGAAAATCTATGAGATTTGGGATCAAGACGACAATTATCAATCCTCTATCTATATGACATGCATATTATATCTTTTACTATTTTATTGCAATTCGAAACGAATAAATTAATAAAAGAAACTATCTAAAGTTAATAGTTATCCAACCTTGATTAAGAAAGAATTTGAACAAAATCCTATCTTAACTTGGAAACCTATCCAAAACCATTAAATATGATCTTACATGCAATATTATCTAGAAGATTGTCCCAATCTATCATGCAATCTTTTTTTACATTTTTTGAATATGTAAAGCAATCAAACAAGATAAACACGAAATCACCAAAAGATAAAATGAAACACCGTACCGGTTTCTTCTCCAAAGACATTGTCTTTATTGCGGGTGGACTACCTTTAGCTCTTAAAGCAATAGGTTCATTGCTTTTTTAATTAAAAAAAAAATAGAAATGTGGGAAACGAGCTCGCGCCCTCTCGATATCGACAATCACATCGATTTACCGAGACTTGAATTATTTTTGAGTGTCAACGCCCCTTTTAAAAACAAAATTGCTTTTGAATATTAATAAATATCAAGGGTTACCTCTTCAAAGCTCAATCAAAACGCCGGTTCTCAATCATTACCCCTTTTTGATCCGATCGTATATAGGCGTATGTCTCTGCAGATCAAATTTATTAGAATTATTTGAAAAAATAACGCTGTGTTCGATTCCGGAAAAATATTTTTCCGGAAAATATTTTTCGCGTTTTCCGGTGTTCGGGGGCGGAAAATGTTTTCCGTGGGAAAACATTTTCCCACCCCACCCCCAAACCCTTCACAATTTTGAGGAAAATGACTTCCGCTTCTGAGAAGCGGAAGTCATTTTCCGGAAGTCTGAAGCTCTGCTTCAGACTTCTTCCTATTTTTTTTTTTTATTTTTGTTGCTGTTGCTTCTTCTACCTCAGCCAGTCGGCGGTCGGCGACCTCAGCTTGGCCAGAGCCTCGCCGATGACCTCGGGCGTGGGTTCGCCGACGTCCGGCGACACTGGGCGAGGTTCGCCGACGTCCCGCGAGGCCCTGCCCCGCATGGCCGGCGGGCCGGGGCCTTGCCTGTCAGCGGACAGCTGCCGTGCGGACTAAGCGAGGTCGAGCTTGACCTCGCCCAGGTCGCCGAATCGGGCGACCTCACCCAGGTCGCCGGCCGGGCGAGCTGGGGCCTCGCCGGCCTGTGGCAACGCTCGAGCTCGCCTCTGGTCGGTCGCCGGACGTTGGCCGTGGCCGTGGCCGTGGCCGGCGACCCGCCGGAGAAGAAGAAGGAAAAAGAACACAGCCGGCGGCGATCATTGCCGAACACCGGAAAATATTTTCCGAAACTTTTTCATATTTCAGCCGAATACCGGAAAATTGTGTTCCGGAAAAACATTTTCTAGGAAAATGATTTCCGGGAAAACATTTTCCAAAAACACAATATTTTCCGTCAAACGAACAGAGCCTAAAAGAAAAAACCACCTTATCCATTTAAAAATAATTAGGTGAGAAAGCAATAGCATCAAAACGCTGATCGGAGACATCATTTCGCGTTCGTTGTGGTAATTAATGGCATCAAGGGTGAGATTAAAAGCATGTTCAAATCGACTATGGAGCTTGAGCTTGATTGAGCTCTTGGCCCTCCAACTTTGAGTTGAATTGCGTTTAGAAATAGCCACCGCCTTAACTTGGATCGACCGTAACCAATTGAATTTTGCGGTTTCTAAGTTTTAAGCACGTGAATTCGTTGGGTAATCACTTTTATTTTTGATTAATTTTTGATGAAAATCGACGTATTGGAGGGCGGACGAAGCCACGACTTTTGCTAGTTTAGTGCACAAAGATGCCACTGGAAGAATACTTCATTGAACCACGCGGGGAACGAATTAAATCGATAGTTAAATTTGGACCAAGCATGTTAGCTTCGATTAATAATAGGAAGAATTTCCTCATAATGTCGAGGGAAACATCCGATGAAATCACTTGATCATCCTCGGCGATTTCCTCCATAAATATGGTCAGTGACAAGCTGCCACTTTCTTCAAACCTCCGCAGATTTAGTAAGGGTACACGCTTGGGCGGTTGACAGCATACGCTGGATGAGAAAAACCATGGATGCGGAAGAGAGGAGGACTTCGGGATTTTCTGAAAATTCGGTGAAAGGTGTATTCTTTGAAGTGATCATCCGGTCTATATGGATTACACCGGCAAATCAGCGTGCCTTTTGATGGATTAGTGTGATTTTAAATATGCAAAGAAACCGTCATCGAATGGAAGGCCAAGGCGAAGAGACGTGAATTCTGGATCGCAAGCGTGCAGGTTTATTTCGATCGACTGGAGGCATTAACCGGCAGGCAAAGAGGTCAAGGACAAGATCATCTTCGGCAAACATTAATAGTAATACACCCGTGCCGAAGCAAAGGTTTCTTTCTTACTCTAATTTCGAACTAGGAGCGTAAGGATGTTCTCTCTCACAAACGTTCTCGATTTGAAGTCTGCATTGGTTTGGTGCAAGTTCGGTTTACCAACTTCCAGGAGTTTTATAAGATTATGGGATCGATGACAACTTCCAGGAGTTTTAGACTACATACATGTTGTTTCAATGCACTGATAAAGCTGGATAAACGTGCTTCCAACTTTTGGTTATCTACGTTACATTGATGCTCTGTGCAAAGCATGGGCTTCAACTCCAGGATATGAACTGAAAATACTGGGAATTGAAATCCTTTCGTTTCAGGAATCTGATTCCTGAACCAAAAGAGGCCTTACAGATCAAACTGAGCAACAATTACTTCGGCTTTAACAGTGTCAATTCTTCCAATACTGCCTAACTTGTAACTAGGATCTAGCACAATTGGGAATTGGATTTTGAATAAACTCATTGTCATGCAAGTTTTGCGTGCCCAGATAGATGATTATTGGAAGTATTAGGGCAATGAAGGCTTTTAAGATGTTCTCCACGATTTGGTCATCCTTAATTTAACTGCATGAGTCCGACCAAATAAATGAATAAATAAATAACTCGCACCATTAATCAATCGATTTTATTTTGTCCAATCCTATAGCTTTCGAAACAAGTATTAACCTTGCGGTCGAAGGAAACGAGCCTGAATACAAAAATCGAAACAGAAAAGACTGAGAACACCTTCTTTCGCTGTTGTATCTGGTTGGTGACTTGTGATCCTACCGCCCGCCCGGGGAAAAAGGGCTTCTTCCAAACTATGAGGAGGCGGAGGCTGCTCCAAGAGCACGTGAAGCTGCACGTGCTCCTCCACCATCGACGGGATGATGGAGTGGCTGCTTTCTCCAGTTTCCTGGTTTGAAGGAAGCATCGACGCAGATGGACCCTACGGATGCTGTTCGATATGAATGAGCTGCCGTTGGTAACTTGTGATACCGCCGCCCGCCTTGGGAGGGAGCGCTTCTACTAAACTTTGAGGAGGCGGAAGTTGCTCCAGTAGCACGTGCTCCTCCTCCGTCCCCTGGATGAGCCCTTCGATGGAGTGGCAACTTTCTCCAGTTTGCTGGTTTGAAGGAAGCGCCGACAGAGATTGACCATGCGGATGCTGTTCGATATGAATGAGCTGCCATTGGTGACTTGTGATACGGGCTTCTTCCAAACTTCGAGGAGGCGGAAGTTGCTCCTCCTCCGTCCCCTGGATGAGCCCTTCGATGGAGTGGCTGCTTTCTCCAGTTTGCTGGTTTGAAGGAAGCACCGACAGAGATTGACCCTGTGGATGCTGTTCGATATGAATGAGTTGTCGTTGGTGACTTGTGATACCACCACCCGCCTGGGGAGTGAGCTCTTCCTCCAAACTTTGAAGAGGTAGAAACTGCTCCAGTAGCTCGTACTCCGGCCACTGGATGACTTCTTCGATGAAGTGGTTGCTTTCGGGAGTCAAGGCTTCTCCCAAACTTTGAGGATGCGGATGCTGCTCCGGTAGCACGTGCTGCTGCTCCATCCCCTGGATGAGCCCTTCGATGGAGTGGCTGCTTTCTCCAGTTTGCTGGTTTGAAGGAAACATCGACAGAGATTGACCCTGCGGATGCCGTTCGATATGAATGAGCTGTCTTTGGTGACTTGTGATACCACCGCCCGCCTGGGGAGTGAGCTCTTCCTCCAAACTTTGAAGAGGCAGAAACTGCTCCAGTAGCTCGTGCTCGTACTCCGTCCACTGGATGACCCCTTCGATGACGTGGCTGCTTTCGGGAGTGAAGGCTTCTCCCAAACTTTGAGGATGCGGATGCTGTTTCGTCCCCTGGATGAACCCTTCGATGGACTGGCTGCTTTCTCCAGTTTGCTAGTTTGAAGGAAACATCGACAGAGATTGACCCTGCGGATGCTGTTCGATATGAATGAGCTGTCGTTGGTGACTTGTGATACCACTGCCCGCCTGGGGAGTGACGGCTTCTTCCAAACTTTGACTAGGCAAAAGCTACTCCTCCTCCGTCCCCTCGATGAGCCCTTTGATGGAGTGATTGCTTTCTCCAGTTTGCTGGTTTGAAGGAAGCATGGAAGTGGCTTGGGGAATGATCCCTGCACTTGAAGTTCCCTTCAGGGGAGCAGGAGGATGTGCGTCGCGTTGCCTCGAGCTCGAGTTCCAGTAAACCTTTATCTGGTCAAGGGTGCGTCCCTC